AGGGCCATCTATAAGACCAGCCTGCCAGGGCATGGCCTAGTTTACGATCACAAATGTGTTGCCTCAACTCCCAGATGCTGAGGATCCAGGGGCTACTCCAGTTGATAAAATACTGACATAAATAGTGCAAATCTTCCAAATTATCCAAATTTTAAGAAGACTAGGTCAGGTAGAGTTTTTAAAGTGCCTAAAAAGCTTGATTTGTGAAACAGTTTAGCTACGCTGTTCTGTAGTTTTATTTGAAATAGGTATATTATCTATTTGTAAAGTTTAGTTAAGTTATATTTCGTTGTGTTATGCTCAAGTTGTTCATAATGAAAATGCAGTGTACTGATGTACCGCTGGGGTGCATAGCCTCTATAATGTATTGAAGTGTAGTTAAATACAATGTTGATTTACTTCAAAACATATCTCACAATTCAGTTAAAGTATCGTGCCTTTTATTCAGAAATGGCATATTCATGTGTATACAATAATATGATTCATCAACTGGAAGGGAGGAATGTATTTAGCGCCACTAGGCGATGGTATTGAATAAAAGGGCAGACTTTATGATGGCGGCTGTTCGAGCATAGTGCTGTGTATTCTCAGTTATTCTGTGTTGTAGGCTCGGTCACGTATACAAAAATTCCCCACATGTGGACATTATTGTCCATCATCAAGATAAACATTTGCGGTCCGACCTGATAAATTTATTGATAATTATAGTTTTTATGATAATCAAAATAAAACCTAGCATTTTTTTTCGCTGCTTGACAAGATCGTCTAATTTCCAATTAAAACCAAACAATTTAGTAAAAGTTCAATCCCCTATTTTATTAACTTACTCAATTCAACATTTTTATTAAGCTAAAGTCCTGTATTACATCAGCACAGGCCATCTCAACAATGGTACATTTGTTATGTTAGTTGATCACTATAAATGTCTATGGCAAGGATGATGATGTTAATTTACATCAACCACTACCACCCCAAATCATTTCGCTCACCCCTCTTCAAAAATGCACAAAGAAGTTACTTAATTCAACATATAGTATTACGCCCTGTATTACATCAGCACAGACCATCTCAACAATGGTGCATTTGTTATGTTAAATAATCACTCTGAATGTCTATGGCAAGGATGGTGATGTTAATTTACATCAACCACTACCACCCCAACTCATTTCGCTCCACCCCTCTTCAAAAACACACAATAAAGTTACTCAATTCAACATATAGTATTAAGCCCTGTATTACATCAGCACAAACCATCTCAACAATGGTACATTTGTTATGTTAAATGATTACTCTGAATTTCTATGACAAGGATGATGATGTTAATTTACATCAACCACTACCACCCCAACTCATTTCGCGCCACCCCTCTTCAAAAACGCACAATAGCTCGCCAATCTCTTTCCATAAAATAATTCCTCAAATATATTGTCTGCACATGTGGAACGAAAAAGTCAGAATCATCAATGTACTAAATGTGTCACCATGCTGCAATTGCAAAGGCAATCAATAATTATATTTCGGGATTCTCACAAACACAAAATCCAAAACAAAACAAAAACAAACAAAACACTAAATTCTATAAATATAACCGACCTGCCAGCCTATTTACATGATCAAGTGCCATTGCCTCAATTCCATCCCTGGGTTGAGTTTACTGAATTAGACTATTTAAACGCAAGTTGTGTTAACTAAAGCAAATTTATAGTGAAATGCACTAAAAAATTTTGCTCTCAATCACTGAATTACCATGACATTAGTCATGGTACATGAACTAAAAATGCACTGACCTACGGAGAGTCGACAATAGTTATTGCAGCTATTACCATTGCAGCTACAGTTCAAGTCACATTAACGTTGCGTTAGCTGTGAAGCGGACTGTTTAATTTTTTTGACTTCATAATTTTCTTTAGTAGTATTAAACTTTTTTTTATTAGGGAAAGCCCCATGTTTAAACCAACATAGTCCAGTTATACACTTCAATTTATCATTTTGTTTGTTTGCTTTAATTAAGTTGTTCATTTAAATATTTATATTTAGGCTTCCCGACTTGGGTTTTGTAAGAAGGATTGTCCGCTCTAAAAGCCCTATTTTAATTCTCAAATTATATAATTCTGTTTGTTATGGCCAATTAATCAATACGGACGGCGTTTACTCAGACTGACAACTTCCTTTTATTCCAATAACGCTTGTACATATTTCATCACGTGTAATCATGGAGTTATTAGTTTAACCATATTCCGTACATGAAATATTCCGTTATTCAGTGAGTTAGTCAGTCAGATAAAGACGGTTTCGGCCCTGCTATATTCAATCGGCCATATTTTCCTTGTTTCCAAACTAAAGTCCAACATAGAGGGCTCACTACTAATATTAACGAACACAACATCCCGAGGCCCAGTTGCTCCTGTAAAAAAGCAACGACCTTACTATTATGTGTTCAACAACATATCATAACTGTCCATCTAATAGCGTCATAACTGTCATTTACCTTCAAACTTTCTTAAAACAAATTAATTAAATACCAACAAGAACACTAAAACAAATATTAAAACCAATTATAATGTATCTAAAGTCATTTCAGTCTCGATAATTAAGACAAATTGAAGAAGTTTAACTATCGATAAAAGTCCACTGATTCAAAAGAAACAAACGTTTTAAATCAATGATTTCAACCTGGGGTAAATCCAGCTACACATGCTTCATGGTTTCTATAAAATTATTTGAAATCAATAATGGTGTAACTTTTGATTTATTATGATATCTTTAGCAATGAATTTAAAGTTCAAATAAATGAGATTATTCCAACATTCTCCTTAAATCATATTATTGCTGTATATTTTGGGCAGCGCTTGGCTTGCACACTATCAACGGCATTATTATGGCCTGTCAATTTCAGACAATAATTACAGAGAATTATCTTCTAAAAGCAAACAAATCTTGGCGATTGGTCGTTTAAGTATACCAGACTTGGTTTTCAGTTTCACACTTCGGACTAGCCCATGGTTGTCCGCAAAGACTTCTATCACTAGACCCATAAGCCATGAGTTGCGAGGTGCTTGCTGATCAATAATCAGTACAACATCTCCGGCACGCACATTTCTCCTTGGTTTCATCCACTTCTGTCTCAATTGTAGGGTGGTTAGGTATTCTTTTGTCCACCGCTTCCAGAATATATCAGCTAAGTATTGAACCTGCTTCCATCTCTTTCGTGCGTAGACATCTTTTTCCTTAAATTCTCCAATTGCATTACCTGCAGGCTGCAGTAGTAGCAAAGAATTTGGAGTAATTACATCTAAATCATTTGGATCATCTGAATTTCTCGTTAGAGGCCTACTATTAATGATCGCCTCGACTTCACACATGAACGTGTTCAACTGTTCATCAGATTCAGCCGTTTTTATAAACTGCTCATTCAACAGACTGTTGAGGATTTGGCGTATTGTCCGTATCTGCCTTTCCCACACGCCTCCAAAATGGGAGGCAGACGGTGGGTTAAATTTCCATTCTATCCCTCGGTTGCATGCAAATTCTTGCATCTTCTTCTTATCGATGCATTCAAATTCTGCCTTGGCCCCTACAAAATTTGTGCCGTTGTCTGATTTAATGTGTTTCACTTGGCCACGCCTTGCTATAAAACAGCGCAAAGCATTAATACAGGAACTGGTATCCATAGATGCAGCTACTCAATATGTACAGCTCTGCATGCCATACATGTGAAGATTACCCCGTATCTTTTTCTACAGGCCCTTCCATATTTCACTTCGAAGGTGCCGAAGTAGGCTGTATTCGAAAAATGTGCGTCAGGTTGTACACGTTCCACAGGCAAATTAGCCATTAACTACTCAATGGACTTTGCTTTTACACGCCTGCATATAGTACATTGCTTCACAATGCTCCGGACTAGTGGTCCAACTTTCAATACCCAGTACTTCTGCCTTAGTACTGACAGAACGTGATTTAATCCTTGATGGCCAACACTTTTGTGTATGTGTTGGATGATTAGGGTAGTCACATGATGATTTTTTGGAAGAATGATCTGGTGTTTCATATTTTCGGGAATGGATGCATTTTCGATTCTGCCCCCAACTCTTAGAATTCCCTCATTTAGTTTAGGGTTTAGTTTAGTTAGATTGCTGCCTTTACCCAATTCCTTTTAAGGGAAATTTGTGGTTTGCACATATTTGATTATAGCAATCTCAGCTTCCTCCAGCTTCCTAGCCGTAAGTAGATGATTTTCATGTCTTTTAGAATGATATAGTATGCCACAGCCCTCTTCAATTTTGTCCAATCGGAGTAGTGTCGTATTAATCTATTCAAAGGACTGTCATATTGACATATTGCTTCGCTGACTCCAATTGCATTGTACTGGCTTTCCTGGATGTCATTGTGCGATGTATCGCCATTGGGTGGTATATCTTCCATAACAGGCCATTCCTTCTGGCTCATAGCCAAGAAATCCGGCCCTGATATCCATTCCTTATGTCTCATCAGATCTTGTGCCTTAAGTCCCCTGGATGCATGGTCGGCAGGATTAAGTTTTCCTGGCACATATCGCCATCCGTGCAATGTTGATCAATCACGAATAACTGCAACGCGGTTAGCCACAAACACAGGATATCTAGACTACTTATTGGGTATGTATTTAGGACAGTTTGGCTATTTGTCCAGAATATTGATGGTTCCAACTTAATCGTCATCTCTCTGTGTAATAGATCATCCTGACGTACAGCAGATGCAGCTGCTGTTAATTCCAATTTTACTATTGTGTGTGGTTTCAATGGAGCTACTCTGGCTTTAGCTGTCACGAAACCGACATGGATATTTCCGGCTGTATTTTGTGAACGAAGATATGTAACTGTACCATATCCATGTAGACTGGCACCGGCAAAATGATGCAATTGGGCGTTGGTTACTTCTCCAAAATTACTGGGTTTTAAACACCGTGGGATCCGGATGTTTTCCAATCCAGACAAATCGGCTAGCCATGCTTTCCACTCCTTTTAGCTTTGAGCAGGTATGGGGTCATCCCATCCCATCTTTTCTCGGCATAATGACTGAAGGATAAGTTTAGCCTGCAATGTGTATGGCGAACAAATGCCAAGTGGGTCATAGATACCACTTACTACAGACAGTATATTTCTTCTTGTTGCAATCTTACTTACTGTCTTTGCACTGAATTCTAGGCTATCGGACTCGGCACACCACTTTACGCCCAGAACGTGTTCCTTAGACAATTTGTCGTTTTGCAGGTCAATTCCTGTTACATCCTTGGCTCGATGTTGCTCTGGAATAGTTTCCAACACTTTTCTACTATTGCTGGCCCACTTGGTTATGTTAAATCCCCAATTCTGTAGCAGTTTTCGCATTTTCGCCACCATGTCAATAGCCTCTTCTTCACTTGTTTCTGACTTTAAAAAGTCATCAACATAAAAGCTCTCTTCTACAGCTTGGGCAACTTTATTTTCTGCCCCTATTGCAGTCCAGACTTTCTCAACACATAATTGGCGCAGCTTGGAGATGACACAGCTCCAAAGATGTGAAATCGCATTCAATATTCCTTAAGATCACTGTTCAAATTACCATTTGGCCACCACAAGTACCTAAGTAGGTCGCAGTTTGTAGGTCTCACTCGGACTTGAAAGAACATTTTTTTCAATATCAGCCAATAAGGCCACTGGTTCCTGTCTCCATCGTAGCAGTACTCCGTATTGGTTAGGTCAGGCCCTTGAAGAAGTTCAAACTCCATGATGAGGAATGAACCATGTGCGTCCATCACTTCTATTAACCTGTTCTACTGGCACTTCCTCTGCGTACCCTTTGCTTACCAGATCTGCCATAAACTCACTGTAACATTTTAAAAGTTTAGGTGTATGGGCATGTCGGCCGAGAAAACCTCGCTGAACGTTTCCCGTTTGCTCTCCGTTACGCGAGATTGAAGTGCGTTCGGCGAAGCCACGACGAAACCTCTTGCGTTACCCTCGACGACCGAGACGATCTAGATGTGTATAAGAGACAGATTCAGTGAGTTAGTCAGTCAGATAAA